GCACCTCCAACAATACAGTCATGATGTCGTCGTGCATGTGGTCTTTGAGGTCTTGCACGGACTCGCACTCCTTCTGCACAGCCTGAACAATGGAAAACCACGGGAGTGAGTGAGTGAGTGAGTGAGTGAGTGAGTGAGTGAGTGAGTGAGTGAGTGAGTGAGTGAGTGAGTGAGTGAGTGAGTGAGTGAGTGAGTGAGTGTGTGAGTGAGTGAGTGAGTGAGTGAGTGAGTGAGTGAGTGAGTGAGGGACTTGGGATGTGCGAGAAGCAGAGCAAACATCCGGTGGCACAGGAAGCGCAGCGGGAATAAATGCGCCAACACACACATACACACAAACACATACACACACATACACACAAACACATGCACACACACAAACAACACACACACACACACACGCAACACAATGCACACAACCACAACACAAACAACACACAGAAAAGCCACACGACACACAGAGGCAGACACGCTATTCCATATCTGTACCTTGATGAGATGAAGTGTGCATGAGAGTGTGGCTGGTGAACAAGATCGACAAAGTGTTCGGATGAGCGCCCGCGCCACATCGATTGGTAGCGGTTTGCATGTGTCCCTCCAAACAGCGGCATGGGCGGTGCAGGCATCCTCAGCCGCAGTACCGTCGTCGCCACCGGTGCTCGCGTCGCTATCGTTCGTCTTCACAGCAGCAACAGCAACATCATCGCCGCAAGCGCTGCTGCTATCACTGTGGTGGTGCTTGACCGGCAGCAAGTGCCCGACCAGCACAGCGCGAAACACGGGGATGACGCTGGACGCGAGCATGGCCGCCGTCGACAGATGCACGTGCTCGCACACGAGCGGAAGCAGCCGCTGCACCACGCGCCACATCACCCGCACCCACAGTGGCCGCGTATCGGGCGCAGTTCCCAACGGTGGCGCCACACCACCAGCAGCACGCGCTGGGCCGCCTCTTTCGGGGCCGCTGGTGCCACTGGTGCTTCTTCGCGCGCCGCCCGATTTGGAATTGCCTGCAGGCAACGTCAGCACGAGGAGCTTGAACAGCTGGACTTGCTCGGTCTGCCCGTCAAAGGGAGGCCGCAGCAGCATCCACGCCCGCTCCACCGCATCCTCCAACTCGCTCTCTGTGTCGGCGGGCTCGCTGTCCGCCACGACTGCTGCTGGTGCTGCATCGTTCGCGTTGTCGTCATCAGCGTCACCGCGGTCGCCGCCATCGCTGATGCTGCTGTAGACGATGCCAGCAACAACGGCCTGGACCGGCGCTGACGGCGTGGGCGGGCCGCGCGACGGCAGCAGCGCATGCGCAAGCAGCTGATGCGCAGGATGGCGTGTCAGGTGCGTACATTTGTGTGCATGTGTGAAAGCAGCGAAGCAAGCAGGTGAGGCTGGTAAGCAACGGGCCAAGTGGCAGGATGCAGGCAGACACAGGCACAAAGACACGTGCACACACTCCACTGTGAATGCATACATCCACACATAGATGCAACCCCCCCCCCCCAACACACACACAAACTGCCAAAACGCATGCGTTTCGCACCCTGCACACTGCTGCTGGCGGAAGAAAGCGGGTGGAGATGCACTCGTGCAGAAATGCGGCCAGGGAGATGGGTGTGTGTTCAGGAGAGGACGCCTGCAGTGTCACGAGCGAGATGCAAATTGGCGGCGATGCAACGAAATGAAGGAGAGAAATGCAGGAAAGAAGGAGCTCATCACGTGAGACGCCACCATACACCGCAGTTAAGACACACACTGACAGACAGACAAGCAGACAGACAGACAGTCGGTCAGTTCGTCAGACACACACAGCAGTTGCTCACGTTGAGTGTGCGGAGTTTCGCTTCAAGGACTTTGAAGAGGATGGAGCGTGCTGTTGTGCTTGCATGCAAACACCGACAAATGGCGCCGGCGAGATTTCTCGCATACGCGCACGCTTCTGGTCACAGGCACGTGCACAAATGGAAATGGTTGTATGTGAGGTGAATGCAAGCCCATGATTAACTGAGAATTGCGAGGGATATGGTATCGGCGTCACTACAGCCAAAGGCAGGCGCATTCCAGCGATGACAGCCCCAATCTCTCGCCATCACAGCCCCACCCATCACCAGCCACCGCCAAGCTGACCTGCACGCGGCGTTGGCGTCTTGTCTGCCGGTGAGCGGCCACACAGCGCAGAGAGCGTCTCGTCCATTAGCTTCGTCTCCAACGCTGTCTGTGATGACGACGATGACGATGATGATTCGAGGAGGGAGGAGAGGATTGACGGTGTTGGATCCGCGAGGAACGATGCGAACACCGACGTCGTCGTGCGATTGCTGCTTGACAAGCGCGGATTGGCCACATCCTACGAGTGAGCGAGCAAGCAAGTGAAATGGGTGAGTTAGTGAGTGAGTGAGTGAGTGAGTGAGTGAGTGTGTGAGTGAGTGAGTGAGTGAGTGAGTGAGTGTGTGTGTGAGCGTGTGTGAGCGTGTGTGTGTGAGTGTGTGTGTGTGAGTGAGTGCGTGTGTGGCGTTGAGGGTCAGGCAGCTTTTGTGTATTTGTGTGCCCGACAAAAAGGGCGTGATGATGAGCGTCAACGTTGTCTGTCATAGTACGGCTGAGGCAGCCATACCTGCAGTGCTGGCGGTATGAACGCAGCGTCCTCAGGAAGAATATCACCAACAACGCCATGCACCCTGTGCGAGTGTTTGTGTTGGTTGATGGATGTTGATGCAGGTATTGGGTGAGTTGGCGTCTCTGCACCGGCTACAACCGCACAGGAGAAATCAGCGCACGGTGGAAGCAACAGAATGAATGCATGTTGTGGGTTGTTACCATGAGAGGAATGGGGTAGCGGAAATGGCGACAGGCGACGGCGTGGATGTGCGAAGCAACGGCAGGAGCGCTTCATACACCTGTGCAGGCACAAGAGCCGTGAGGGATGGGCAACAAAGATGGAGGCTTGCTCGAAGCATTCCACTCGTGTACAAGCATCATACGCGATAAACACACCACACACAAACGCACACACGCACACGCACACACACGCACACGCACACACACGCACACGCACACACACACACACCGCACCTCGACCAAGGTCTCTGGCATGCACTTGAGGAGGGCTGCGTTTGGCAGGAGAGCGCTGGCAATGACGGCATCGAGAAGGGCAGTGGCGTTCCACTCCGTTTCGGCGATGATCCACAGCGCAAACCGCAGCGCAGCGTCCGGAAATCCGAGCTCATGCAGCACCTCGCACACGGCCTGCACCTGCACACCACTCAGCACACACGTCAGGGTGGTCGTCGGTGCACCATCGGATGTGCCGCCACCAGCGTCCCGCTGCTGCTCACGGGGTTGCAGTGACTGCGTGTGCACATTGTCGGTGGTGGTGTGGTGGCAAGCGCCGCAGCGCTTGACCTCAAGCAGCAGCCACTCCGCCAGTTCACGGCGACGGTGTGGTGGCAGCACAGATGATGATGAATGCGACGGCGGCGACGCAGCGTGTGCTGATGATGGCGAAGGGAGTCGTGGAGAGGGAAGGGGTGTGTTGAAATCATGGGGGTGGTTGCGTGGGGTGAGTTTGTGGACGGTTGTCTGTGTGTGTGTGTGTGTGTCTCACTCTCACTCTCACTCACTCACACACTAACACTCACTCTCACTCACACACTCACACACACACACACTTACACACTCACACACTCACACACTCACACACTTACACACTTACTCTCACTCACACACTCACTCACTCACTCACGCACTCTCACTCACTCACTCACACATACACACACACTCTCTCTCTCTGTGCGTTTGACAACATGTCAAGCTTGGACACAACAACACATCTACGCACAGGCACATGGCAACCGCACACGAATGTGAGAAGAAGAGCCCGTTGTGCGTACCAAGAGCGTCGCGTTCGTCGTGCTGGATGGTATGTGCGCCGCTGCTGTCAACGTGTTCATCACCGCCAGTTCCGCTGCCATCACTGATACCGTCGTCAAGATCATTGTCGCCACCATCGCCGTCTGCGCTGATGATGGCGTTTGATGGAAGATCAACCTCCGGCAGCCGCAGACCAGACAGACCAGAGGCCGCTGGTGGCGGGGTGAGGAGAGAAAAGCGCACATGTAAGGTGGCAGTCGGAAGGTGAGGAGGTGAGGAGGTGGCGAGTGTTTGAAGGCACCGACGGAACAGGGCACTCATCGCAGCAAGGAGGTGCGGATGGCATGTGCTTGGGCATGTGTGCATCGTGCATTGGAGCTGTTGATTGAAGGGCATTGGCGCTTACTTACACTGCAGGACGTCGATGATGGACTTGGCCAGCTGCAATGCAGGTCGAACCTGTTATCGGACAAGGTTGCAGAGGATGAGATGATGATGGCGGTGATGATGTTCATGAATTGGTGGTGGCACAGAGCGCAGGAGGGATGGACCAGCTTGTTTGGGGGGGGGGAGGGTGGTGAGGGGGGCATTTGTGATTTGAGGGCAGTCAAAAGTGACTGTTGGAAACGACATGCTCACATGGGCAATTGGCCAGCACGCACAGCCTGTTGCTTACACACATACACACACAGACACACACACACGACACATAACACACAGACACACAAACACAAACACACACACACACACACACACACCTCGCTTGTTCGCTGGATGGTGACACCGCTGCTGCCAAAGAGGCCGGTGGCGGCGCGGCGAGAAGCAGCAAACGAGCGCATGCGCGAACACACGCGCGAACATACGGGCGCCGCACACATGGTCACCCACGCTAGCGGTCGAAACATGGATACAGGAGAAACAAGAGTTGAGTGCATGCAATGTTGTCGTGGCGATGGAGGTGAGTGCACGACTGGGCACATGCGGGCGGCCTGTGTGGCACAGTACTTGATGGCGAGCATGTTGGGATACGTCAGGGTCAACAAGCGTGTGGGAGAGCACGGACGTACATGCAATGTCTCTGCTTGTGTGTCGCGGAAGATCAATGAGATCGTCCAGCGTGAGCGCTTCCACGCTGCACATGTGTGCAATCAACAGTTGGCCCGTCCCACCAGAGCAGACACCTGGGATGCGCATGCATCGATGTGTGTGTGTGCGTGTGTTTGTGTGTGTGTTTGTGTGTGTGTTTGTGTGTGTGTGTGTGTGCGTACGTGCGTGTGTGCGTGCGTGTGTGTGCGTGCGTGTTGTGAGAACAGATGTACTCTGGGCAGCAAGGAAAGTGTGGGTAGATACGGAGAGGTGCGCGCTGTACATTGTAGCACAGAAAACGATGGGCGAGCACAAGTGCCCCAATGGTTTGTGGGGTGTGGGATCGGACCATCGCGCTGTTTGCAGACGGCGGCGATGGCGATGAGCGCGCGCATACGGTCAATACCGTGAACAGAACACAGCTGTCGCATCTTCAGATGTGCAATCTGTTGCGCAAATGGTGGAGCGAGGAGGCAAAGTGAGCACGTGAAGGGGAAGAGGCTTCGATAACAGATGCACTCGTGGACACTTCACCACAGCTAGAACTGCACCCTTGAGCACCTGCAGACATACAGACAGACACGAGTACGCACCCGAGCACATAGAGACACACACAGACACCCAGACACCCACACAGACACAGACCCAGACATAGACACACCGTGGCTGCGATGAGGAAAGCACGGGCAACTGTGGGCGAGGAGGAGGGGGAGTCCTTGGAGACGTGGAATCGCGAGTGCAAGACCTCGTGCATGCAGGCAACGCCAGAACAGAGCGCCGTCATGTGCGGCTCTTCCCCATCTCGTTTGTGACGACCATTCCGGGCAGCAGGTGGCAACCGCAATCGTTCGCACTGCTCCATCCAACTGCCATGCCTCGCGGCTTGCTCGCTCCCATCACCACCGTCGCCATCGTCGCCACCATCGTCCATGGGATCCACGTCGTTGTCTGAGGGCTCTTCCGTTTTCACCTCTGCACCGTCATCGCCTCCATCACCGCGTGGCTGTTTGTCTGGCTGCATCGTTGCGTCATGGCACATTGCACGGTCCAGCGGGTGCGTGTAGAAGATTGCGTCAAGACACGCGTCCAAATCCTCACACGCGCTGTCCACATCGTCGCCGCCCCCAGCGCCGCACAGCAGCGACGGGGAGAGCGACGAGGATGACGCCGACGACGACGATGCAGACGGGCGAATGGCGATGGTGGGCGGCGCACCACGCGAGCCGTGCGACTTTGGGATGCCAGGCTTGATGCCGCCACCAGAGGGAGGCATGATGGAGGAGGAGGAGGAGGAGGATGTGGTGGTGCTGGGTGTCGAGCCGCCGCCGTTACCACTCTGCTGCCACGTCGTTAGCAGAGGCAAATTCGTCAGTCCAGCACCTGATGCAGAGAGAGAGAGAGGGGGGGGGCAAGGAGGTAGAGAGAGAGGCATGAGTGAGTGTATGGATGCGTTGACGAGGGCATCGGCAAGTGAGGTCAGACCACGGTGTGATGTATGCTACGATGGCAGTGGTGCTACACAATGCCCATGTGGTCGGGCTCGTATCTGTTTGCTCACCGTCGAGGAGGAGGCTGAAGCAGCGGGCGGGGAACTGGCGCGCAGTGAGGTGCGACGCAGACTTGAAATCCGTCAACTCCCGTACCAGCGCCATCCTGATTGGTGTACGTAAGCAAGTGTGAGTGTGAGTGTGAGTGTGTTTGTGTTTGTGTTTGTGTTTGTGTGTGAATGTGAGTGTGAGTGAGTGAGTGAGTGAGTGAGTGAGTGAGCGAGTGAGTGAGTGAGTGAGTGAGTGAGCGAGTGTGTGTGAGTATGTGGATGTGGCTGTGGGTGCTATTGCAGACAAGGGTCAGGTTGCATTACGCGTGCACAGCGCCATCACCTGTCGATGAATGCGGCAGAGCATGAGGAGAGGTCTTCTCCGTAAGTCGCAGCATCCTCTGTTGACACCGTGGAGTCGCACACATTCACGTACACGAAGGGCATGGATTATCAGAAAACAGGATAGGCGTATTGGGATGATGTGCACACATATACGTGCGCGCAAGAGAGTGCAACACGACGGCAACAACCGCAGGTCAGTCGCCCCAAACACAGCCAACAATGAGCGCTGTGTGTGTGTGTGTGTGTGTGTGTGTGTGTGTGTGTGTGTGTGTGTGTGTGTGTGTGTGTGTGTGTGTGTGTGTGTGTGTGTGTGTAACCTGCAGCGGTGTATGCGATTGGGGGCTGGTTCGGCCACATGGCGGCGACAGGGAGGTGCTCCGTCCAGATGTGATGCAGCAGCGCAGAGTACATGGCAGCAAGGTTCGTGCACTGAGGATTGGTGTTGGGGGGACAAGTGGGCAAGGTGAAAGTAGGTTGGGTGAGTAAGCGAACCTGTGTGTGGGCGTTCATACATACATACATACACACATACATACATACATACATACATACATACATACATACATACATACATACATACATACATACATACATACATACATACATACATACATACATACATACATACATACATACATACATACATACAAATATACATACATACATACAAATATACAACCATACATACAAACATACAACCATACATACACACATACATACATACATACATACATACATACACGCGTATGCGCACCTCTGGGCAGATGGACTTGAGGTCTGCGGCGTTGTCTGCGCTGAGAATGGCGACGGCGGCAGAGAGGTGCTGGGCGAGCAGCAGCAGCAGCGGGCGACAGGATGAAATGGTGCTCAGGTGCATGAGCATGTGCGGCATCACCATGGTCGCCTGCAGTATCGTGCCGAGCTGGATGTACGTGCATGCGTGTGCGTGTGCGTGTGTAGGCGTGCAGCGTGACCAAGCAGATGGACAAGAAAGTGGTGCCAGTGCACAAGGAGGAGGACAAGGAGCAAGGGCACACAACACAATACACCACAACACAACACAACACAACACAACACAACACAACACAACACAACACAACACAACACAACACAACACAACACAACACACACCAGGAGCTTTGTGTTTCCGGCCTCCCACTGGGCGGGGAGGGCTGAGCCTGCTGCGTTGTTGATGAGGAAGGAGAGCCAGTCCTCCGCCAAAATGCAGCCCTGAATGACACGCAGGCAGCGGTCAGCGCACACGGCACGTGACCCAGAGCATCACACACCAACCGCTTCCGAAAAGCACACACACATGCACACACATGCACAAGCACACACACACACACACGCAAGTACACACAAGCCACAAGCACACGAATACAAGCATGCACACAAAGTGCACCTCTGCACAGAGGGCGTGGCCAAGGAGAAGGAGGTGCTGGCTCTTGTCTGCAAAGCGAGAGACACGAACGACGCAAACGTCGTCAGCGTAGGTGAGATGCACACAGGCACCTTCAACACACACACACATACACACACACACACACACACACACACACACACACACACACACACACACACACACACACACACACACACAAC